ATAAAGTTGATTTGAACAAATGTTTGAATAGGCATTTATGCTCCAAATCTTTTGGGGGGGGGGGGGGGAGCAATTGAAGTTCAAGAGGGTGGCTTCTCTTTTTAGTTAGGGGGAGATTGAAGTTCTAGAGAAGGTAGGTCAAAACAACTACCTCAATAATTTTTGTCATCCCAATATGTCATCCCCAAAACTTCTCCTCTTTTTGGTATTATTCTCTTTTTGGTTTTGGGGGAAGGTTTCTTTTTTTAGTAGGGGGCAAGTTTCCATATTTAATATTAAAACATTGTTGTTGATTATATTATTTGAAAATAGCCACCTCATCGTCCCAATATATCATCTCAAAACTTTCTTCTTGGTCATAAACAAAATATGAGATATCCACATTTAATGTTAAAATCTTATCGTTAATCATATTGTTTGAAAAGAACTACTTTATAGTCCTAATATGTTATCCCAAGACTCTCTTCTTGGTCAAAAATAAGATATGAGATATTCTCTTTTTGATTTTAGGAGGGTTGAATTTCAAGGGGTGAGTTCTTTTTTTTGGTCAAGGGGTGGTTGAAGTCCGAGGGGTGTATGGGTCTCACTTCTAATATTAAAATTATGTCATCATGTAGTTTAAAAATAGTCATCTAAAAAAAAATTTTATTTTGGAGGGGAGGGGGGTGGGGGTTGGTGGGTTAGTCCTACTTAATATTAAAATCTTACCGTTAGGGGGAGGGGAGGGGGTCCGTGGGTCAGTTCCACTTCTAATATTAAAATCTTATCATTGATCATATCGTTTAAAAATAGTCACCCCAATAATTTTTCTTATATCAATATGTCATTCTTAAAACTTTCTTCTTGATCACAAATAAGGTAGTAGAAGTGGGACCATCATGTCATTTAAAAACAATAACCTCGATAATTTTTCTCATCTTAATATGTCATCTTTAAAACTTTCTTTTCAGTCGCAAACAAGATGTGAAGTATTCTCTATTTTGTTGTGTAATATCCCTAACTTGAGGGAAGAGGGAGAGGAAAGAGAGATAGCTGCAGCAGCTAGGGCTGCAGCATCTCTGTTTCGTGTAGGAGGAAACAGAGGAGTTCATGTGTCGGGGAGGAGAAGGGAAGAAGAGAAGAAGAAGAGAAGCAAAAGAAGAAGAAGAAGAAGAAAAGAGGAGGTGGCTGCGGAAAGGGTTGCAACGAGGAGCTGTAGGGCGTTGGGGAGGAGAAAGGAAGAAGAGGAGAAGAAGAAAAGAAGAAGAGAAAAAGAAGAAAAAAAGAAGGATGGCTGTGGCATCAGCTGTAGTGAGAAGGTGTGGGGTGTCGGGTAGGAGAAGGGAAGAAGAGGAGAAGAAGGAGAAGAAGAAGGAGAAGAAGTAGAAGCGGGTGAAGTGGCGGCACCTCTGTTTTCTGCAGGAGGAAACAGAGGAGAGGAGGTGCTGTGCGTCGGGGAGAAGTAGAAAGGAAGGAGAAGAGAAGTAGAAAGGAAGGAGAAGCAGTCTTGAAAATTCTTGTATTCTGTCTTGCATTATGATATCTTACTTGTTTGAAATCATTCCTTTTGTTCTGAATATGTTTTGTCACTTGCTGAGCTGTTTTTAGCTCACTCCGTTGTTATATAAAATCTTTCAAGTCAAGTTGTTACTCTTTGAGATGTTTTGAATTGGGCTGAGGTAGTGAAGAGCTATTCAGAATTATGGGCCAGTCTTGTTGGTTATTATGTTATTGTTGTATAAGCATATTTTGTATGTAATGAAATGTTGTTGATGAATCGAAATGGATATACTGTGTAAAAGTGTTAGAAGATTTCTCTTATTTGGAATTTCAGAATGTTAAGTCTAGTTTATGATGATATGAACTTGTGGTGAATAGTTGGAGTTCTGATTGTATAATTTATTTAGCTTGTGGATTTATAAATGTTATTCATGTTTATCAAGTTGGCTTGGGCTGCAAAAAATGTGAATTATCGAGTGATGTGATATATGATTATAAACTGCACAGATTTTATAGATGTGAATTTGATAGAATGTTTTTCAGTGTCCTCAAATGTTAGTTTGGATCCTAGATTAGTTTGCGATGAAAATTTTAAAATCATCATATTATTTGAGGGGCGTGACAAGTTGGGGGGTGGTTGAAGTCAAGGGAGGGCACGGTAGGTTAGTCTCACTTTTAATATTAAAATCTTATTATTTATTATATCATTTAAAAATAATCATCATAATATTTTTTTTATCTTAATATGCCAGGGAAGTCAGAGGATGGGTGAATCTTAATTTTAATATTAAAATTTTATCATTGATGATGATGTTTGAAAATAATTTTTATGATAATTATATCCATATTTAATATTAGATGTGAAGTGTTCTCTTTTTTTTGTTGGGGGGTGGTTGAAGTCAGGGGAGAGCACGGTGGGTTAGTCTCACTTCTAATATAAAAATCTTATTGAATCTCAATTTTAATATTAAAATTTTTTTATTGATAATGATGTTTGAAATTAATATTTATGATAATTATATCCATATTTAATATTAAAACTTTATCGTTGATCACATCGTTTGAAAATAGTCATCTCATGGTCTAAATATATTATATCAAAACTTTCTTCTCGATCAAAAACAAGATATGAGCTATTCTCTTTTTGGTTTTAGGAGGGTTGAAATTCGAGGGGTGTGTTTTCTTTTTGGTCGTGGGATGATTGAAATCCGAGAGGATATGTGGATCCCACTTCTAATATTAGTTTTATCATTGTTGGTGATATTTGAAAATAGTCTTCATGATAATTATATGCATATTTAATATTAAAATTTAACCGTTGATCACATCGTTTGAAAATAATCATATGGTAGTCTTAATATGTCATCCCAAAACTTTCTTCTCAATCAAAAACAAAATATAAGATATTCTCTTTGGATTTAGGTGGATTGAAATTAGGAGCGATGAGTTCTCTTTTTCATCCAAGGGTGATTGAAATGAGAGCGCGTGGGTCCCATTTCTAGTATTAAAATCATATTATCGCGTGGTTTAAAAACAGTCGTCGATTATTATTTTTTTTTAATTTTAGAGAGGAAGGGGGGTTGAATTTTGAGATGTCAAAATATGGGATCATTTCTAATATTAAAATCGTATCATTCAACCCGCCGTAAGCCTCGATCTTTCCCTGTTATATTGCGTGTCTTGGACACGAGCAAGTCCTCCAAATCCTTCCTTCCGTCCTCGAGATCGCGCGAGAGGGATGGAGAAGAAGCGGGTGGTTATCGTGGGGGCGGGCATCAGCGGCCTGGCGGCCTGCAAGCACGTGTTGGAGCGCGGCTTCTGCCCCGTCGTCTTCGAGGCCGAGGCTGGCGTCGGCGGCCTCTGGGCGCACACCCTGGCCTCCACCAGGCTCCAGTCCCCCAACTGGGAATACCGGTTCACCGACTTCCCGTGGCCGGCGGGCGTCACGGAGACGTGCCCCCGGCACGAGCAGGTGCTGGGGTACCTGGAGTCGTACGCGCGCCACTTCGATCTCCTCCGCTGGATCAAGTTCGAGTCCAGGGTGGTCGCGGTCGAGTACGTGGGCGCGTCCGAGGAGGAGATGGCGGCATGGGAGCTATGGGCCGGCAACGGCGCGGCCTTCGGTGGCGCCGCCAAAGGCGAGTGGCACGTCGCCGTGCAGCACAAGGGCCATGACTCCACCGAGGTAACAACTCAGTATTCAGACCAAATTGTGCACCGCAGTACATCGTAGCATCCATTGGAGTCCTAATATCACCACAATTCTTAGAGCATTCCTCGTATGTATGCTAGATTTATCGAGCGGATTTCCTGATCCTATGCATTGGGAGATTTAGCGGCGTCCCAAATTTCCCAAGTTTCCCACCAGACAAGGGACCTGAAGTGTTCGACGGAGAGGTCATGCACTCAATGGACTACTTCAACTTGGCGAACCCCACTGCTGCTGCTCTTATCAAGGGAAAGCGAATCATAGTCTTCGGTTCAGGGAAATCAGCATTTGACATCGCATCAGAGTGCGCAGATGTCAATGGTGAGAGGTTTAGAATTTCAACCACTGATATTATTTCGCTCACTCTGTTTCTTGTGTCCAGGCGTTGACTTGCCATGCACGATGATGCTTCGAACCAAGCGTTGGATGGTTTATGAATCTGCTATCGAAAGGTTTCCTCTCTACGAATATTTCTACCGCAGTCGCTTCTCAGAACTTCTCCTTCACAAGCCCGGGGAAGGAGTTCTGCTGAGTCTCCTGGCCACCTTCTTGGCACCTCTGGTAACATTAATTGCCACCGGTTGACATTAATTAAGATCACTCTTTCTTTGCATCAAACTGATGAAAAAGTGAAGAAGATGATTTAGCATGATTTTTTAGTCGCTATTAAAATCTATTTTTTTACACTGCAAAGTTCAGCTATTGGATGATGACATTGAGATTTACGTATATTATGCATCGATGTGATCAAAAAAGCAAAGAAGATATGTTCTTTCGTTGCTAATTGTTACACTGCATAGTTCAGCTGTTGGTAGACATTGAGATCACTTTCATGACTCAGTGAACCGATAAAAAGGTGCATAAGATGATTTAGCATTATTTTGTTTAATTGCATTGCATTGTTTTTTTCATTACCCACCCATTTAATTGCACTGAATTGCATAAGATCACTTTCATGACTCATCACACAGCATAATTCAGCCATGCTTTTCATTACCCATTTAATTGCATTGTTTTTTTCCCTCAAATACAGAGTGTAATTAAGCTGCACAACGGTTGACCATTCATGTGCACTAAATGTCAAGATAGAATATGTTGTGAATGTACAACAGTAGTGAAGAACTAAGCACAATTAGTACGCCATATGACATTTACTGGAAGAAAACCGCACTTGCCTCTTCTTTATCATTGCATGCTTCTATTTCTTCTTTCTACTGCTGTGTTGCGCTTTGCCGGGCTATGGGAGGTTGGTTCTGAAAGTAACTCCTTTGTTTGCTCTCTGAAAAGTAACTACGGATTGCTTGTAGCGCAACAATTCGTTTGGAACTAAAATTCAACTCTGTTGATTGTCGTGCTTCAGAGATGGCTATTCTCAAAAATCGCAGAAATGTACTTCAAATGGAAAATGCCATTGCAAAAACATGGAATGGTACCAGAACATAGCTTCTTCCAATCAGTCACTTCTTGTTTGATTACATTAATGCCTGAAAAGTTCTACGATAAAGTGGAAGAAGGGAGCATCGTTCTGAAGAGACCACAGACTTTTAGCTTCTGTAAGAATGGGTTATCCATAGACGGCGAAGGTGAACTAGTGGAGTCGGACTTGGCGATATTTGCTACTGGATTCAAAGGAGACCAGAAGCTCAGAGACATCTTCACATCCAAATGGTTTCAACAGATTGTGGCAGGCTCATCAAACACCACTATTCCTCTCTACAGGTCTGTCTCTCCTTTCTTCGCCTTCCATTACTATATCACGATTGCTAAGCAAAAAGATGCATTTTTTGTAAGCATATGAACTCGATAAGTGTTTTCGGCGATTTGGACGACCGATAATTCTTGGAATCTTATTTTGTGACAGAGAATGCATCCATCCGCGAATTCCCCAACTAGCAATTATCGGGTACTCGGAGAGTTTGGCAAATCTTCATGCTTCGGATATGAGAAGTAAATGGATAAGCCATTTCCTGGATGGTCGTTTCAGGCTCCCAAGCATACGATGCATGGAGAAGAACGTGCTGGAGTGGGAGAAGTACATGAAACGATACAATCACAAGCATTTTAGAGGATCATGCATCGGCGGCATTAACATCTGGTATAATGATCTGCTTTGTCGAGACATGGGATTTAACCCGAGGAGGAAGAAGAAGTTTATAGCCGAATGGTTTCTTCCTCATGTGCCTGTTGATTATGCTGACCTTGATTGTAGCGACAAGTGAAACATGTTGCCAAGCTCAACTACAGTGGTTGCGTAAATCAACCCGAAAACCAAAAGATTTGTGTTTTGAAGACAGACATGTTCTTTTTCTTCTCCTCTGTTACTTGCGGCTGTCATACTTGTTTTCAGCGGGTAGGGTAGGGTAGGGGAGAAGAAATTGTTGACCACGTTTGACTTAGTGGGTTCCACATGCATTTGGTTCCGCGCGAAGACGTCGGTGACGGCTTGTCACGTGAGCCGAAACGCCGAGGAAATAACTAATTTTGATGTTCTGGGTCTAGCCCATGGGCTTATTAATGTAGGCTGGTAAATGACCAAGAAATAATAATAATTTGATATCGGATTTATTTTTAATATTAATATTATTATTATTATTATAAAATATTTTTTATTTTTTTCTCTTACCAAAAGCCACCGACAACATAATGACCAAAAGAAGAATAAAATAAATTAAAAAAAGAGAAAGGAAAAGAAAAAAGAAAGGGTAAAAAGAAGGATAAGCCACAGACACTCCGGTCATTTAACTACTACCGCTTCCGGCCGATGCATCCGCCCGCCGTGTCTCCGAATGCTGTCCTCCACACTCGCGATTTCGACACAGGGACCTGGCGATAGATAGATAGATAGATAGATAGATTAGAGGAGGTCGCAAGCACGGGAGGAGAAGGGAGCAACGAAGTCGGCGGCGGGCGATGCGTCTCCCGCGGCGGCGCCACCACCCCCTCCGATGCCCGATCCCGGCGGCCTCCGCCGTCTCCCTCCTCTCCACCGCCGTTGCGATCCTCCTCCTCGCTCTCGCCCTCCTCTCCTACCTCGCCCCTCCGCCCTTCCTCGACCACCCTTCCGTCTCCGGCCACCGACTACGCCACTCGGATCCCTCCCCGGTTCGCAAGGTTTACCTGCAACCCTCCCCTTCCTCTTCCCTTTTGACATTTTATTAGGATCAAAATCTCTTCCTCTAACTCCGTCCTCTCCGATTTTTCCCAATCGTAGCCCAAGATTTCTCGTGATGCAGCAGTACGGAGGGATGCTACCACCGGCGAATCCTTTCGTGTTCCGGTTCGTGTAGGTTTACGTTTCCTCATTTACATGGAAATTTGTTAACTGGAAAGAATATTTGACAACCCATATGATATTTCTGTCTTCCTTTCTTTCTTTGTCTCTCATTCGGTTCGTTAAGAATGGCGGAGGGAGCTCTAAGAATGGTCTCTGGGGTTCGAAGCTGTCCAAGTACTACGTCGGATGTAGCAACGCCAGCATTAAGTTTCCAGGTGTGCAAACTATATGTAGCTAGCGTTGTTCCATATACGTAAATAGTAATAGGACAAATTCTATCTTGTCAAGAAAATTTTATGTTTTTGTGATGCCTTTATGAATGTTGCAAGCTAAACAAAGTTCCAAGTTATGTAGAATTTTCTCCTTGGATCTTGCAGCAGCTGAAGCTGTCACTCGTCGAGATAGGTATTTGATGATTGGAACTAGTGGAGGCTTAAATCAACAGAGAACAGGGGTGAGTTGTTTGCCCTATTTTTCACTACAAAATTTGTTTCAGAGGCAGCAAATTTTGTTTGCATATAGGGTTTCATTTTTGGTATGAAATAGAAACTGTCCAGGTCTGAGAAAGTTCTACATGTGGTTGTCATACTTGAAACTAAATGAATTCTGACTTATCAGTTAAGGAATCATAGGAAGGACATTCTCTTGGTAGGTGAATTTTTGATTCATCAAAAGCAATTTTGGTGTATGGTTTTCTCTCAACAATTCTTTTTGGCATCACCTTTTCTGTAGACTAATATCACCTGGTATTAGTTGTTGCAATTTCAGTCCCTACTGTTATGTGATGATTTTTAATTTGAAAACTTAGTTCAGTTCTAATGGTCGATCTTAGAATAACCAGAAATTTGTCTTAGATCTGTTCAAGCTAATTTGAGCAAGCCGTTGATCCAAAAAAAGAGCATTTAAGGGAGTCTTGGTTCAAATGTCAGCTTCAATTTTGTCTAGCATGACAGCTTGCTTGTTGGCAATAGAGTGCCTAGCAACAAAAGAAAATAACCCATGGACTCATACATAGCACAATTTGCTTGTTTATGTGCTAACATGATTGTTTTCTTGTTTAAACTGTTAAGTCTGGTCATCATGAGTTATTTCAGGAATGCTATTTGTATACTTATCCCAAAATAATAATCACAATAGCATCACTAGATTTCATAAACTTGAAAAGGATAGAAGCCCCAAGTCTTTCTGTTGCTTTAGTTATATTTTTTTCTGATACAAAATCAAATAATTACCACAATTTCGAGACAAGTTATGGTAGATACCATATGTCTTTCCTAGTGTGCTCCTTTTCGTGAATTCCAAAGGCAGTAGTGCTGTTTAATTATCTATCTGATGTTTCTAATTTACTAGCATGTGATGTATGAAATATCTGTTCATCATAGGAAAAATTTACAAAGCTGAAGTGGAGAACTAATATGTTGCATTAGACAGATTGATTATTATGGTTATGTATTGTTTTTGAATATTCCGACTTTAAGATGGGTCAATACAAGCACTAAAGTAACCTGCTAGTTCCTGAATGATGCAAATGCTCTTGGAAGTAAAAATATGTTGATATTTGGCATGTATAGGGTATTTTGTTTATATTTCCCTGATGATTTATTCTGTTTCCGTTTTAGATAGGGCAGATGTGTTAGGAATTGCATCAGTGAAAAGACCAAAGTTCACAGTGCCTTTATTTGTATCATCATATGCAAAGCACTGGATAACTCATTACCAGGAGTAACATTTCTAATGATAAATCAGGTTCCCCTTTTAGATAGAGCAGATGTGTTAGGAATTGCATCAGTGAAATGACCAAAGTTCACAGTGCCTTTATTTGTATCATCGTATGCAAAGCATTGGATTGCTCATACCAGGAGTAGCATTTCTAATGTTGCTAGGGTGGGAGCTTAAGACTGTTTCGAATTTGACATTAACTAAATGAGCATGCTTAAAGTTCAAATCTGCAAACACAAAACTTAGTATATGGACATCGATGATATGGCTAAAAAATAACAAAAAGCTTGAACGAGAGCTATTTGATAAATATCTGGAGAAGTTTGGCTTTGATTTGGCATATATCTTGCACTTTTTGAGTGATAAAACAGCATTCATGAAAGACTTACCCTAAGCAAACAAATTTAACGGACAAACTGGAAATTTTGCAACACAATTTTAGATCTTGGCTCTGATGTCTCTCTTATAAATATGAGATGAGCAGGGTAAAGGGATCTTTTATTTCTCTTTTCAGAACATAATTGGAAATTATGTTTGTTTGGCTCTTTGGCTTAATTTATTTATTGAGAAGATTATGTATTATGTTCCATATATGATCGTAAACTAACATGTTGTTTATGTTTATTTCCCTTGTCAATAAATAGCAATATCTTCCTTTTCTTTTTTTTACATTAGTTTTGTTTTTCATTGTCTGTTACTTTGAAGGCTTGTAATAGTTGCCTATAGATGATTCTGCTGCAAGTGATGGTCATGACTTGGCACCCGACAATTTCTCTTTTTTCTCCCTTCTTATAACAGAAATTTCAGTAGGTATTTTAACATGGATGTGCTATTTTGGGAAGTTATTGGATTGGGCAGTCGCAAAGAATCTTTTGAGTGACAACAGTAATTAAATGCCCAAATAGCAACATTCATTTTGCAGCTATTTGAAAAACCTCGATTGTCTTATTATGGTTTCTTCCTTGATTTATAATACTTCTAGAAATGTTTTCACTGCAGAGCGGTAATTTTGTATTGGAGATTTTAATGAATGCAAAACTGCAAATGCTACTTGTATAAACAACTTGTTTTGCTTTTCTGCTGTTATCAAGGTGCAGATCAGCTTGATTAAAATGATGACTTGGAATAACTTGTGGCACATTTAGCAGCATGCTGCTTTAATTAATTAGGCTGTAACACTAGATCATTGATGGAAAACTGTGACTCGTTCCAGATAACAGATGCTGTGGTTGCAGCTAGGATTCTTAATGCCACCCTTGTTGTTCCGAAGCTGGACCAGAGATCTTTCTGGAAGGATGCCAGGTTCTCTTCAAAACCCTAGGTTGAATTTTCAAGAGAATTTTAGTTAATGTAATATTGTCTTGCTAACTTAAATGGAAAAATATTGTGATTGTTTGTGATGCTACATCCAACAGCAATTTCGGCGACATTTTTGATGTTAACTGGTTCATCTCATTTCTATCAAAAGATGTTAAAATTATAAAAGAACTCCCAAAAAAGGGAGGGAAGCCTTTCAGGGGTCCATACACTATGCGTGTTCCACGGAAGTGTACTCCAAGATGTTACCAAAACCGGGTCTTACCTGTTCTTCTGAAGAAGCATGTAAGTCACGAGCATTGATATTGGCTTACTCTATTAATGATAGCTTCTCAAGGTAGCAGCTGACTCCATTGGTCAACAATTTAGATTGTGATATCTATAACTTCAAGATTGACACAGTAAAAAAAATTCTATTTTAAGAAACTATCATACATTATCCATAGAAAATCTTACCTTATCACACAAGCACTCGAGCAATTATTGCTTGACTAATGAAAATATATTTAAATAAAGGCCTCAAGTTTTTATTAGTTTTATTCTTCTGCTTATAGGAAAAGATGCAGAATTACACCTGGGGAGCTCTATACATTATGAATACTAACATTAAATTTTCAAATTAACTCAATGCAGAAAACATAGAAATGAGCTATTATAGACGCAAGTAGGCAATTTTGTAGGTATTGAGATGGCAAATAGTATGGATGTTTATTGCAATCCTGAAGTGAAATTATTGTCCATGATATGCAGGTTGTTCAGCTGACAAAGTTCGATTACAGGCTTGCCAACAAGTTGGAAACTGATTTGCAGAAGCTGAGATGTAGAGTTAATTATCATGCTCTGAAATTTACTCACCCAATACAAGACATGGGTGACAAGTTGATTCGTCGAATGAAGGAAAAAGGCAAGCATTTCATTGCCCTTCATCTAAGGTAAAGCTTGAACTTGATCATGTTTATTTTGGTCATACGTTTAGCTTAGAGAAAATTTGTTTCTTGTCTTTGTGCATGGTGCTTTGTTAGAATGATAATTGTATGACTAGAATGCTCTGTTTTCTTGCCACAATCACTTTGAGCAAGTTGTATCAACAAGCTCCACAATTTGATGCTAGCTATGTTGATTAATGAAGTTGGTGTGGTATATTACGGAGCCCAATTTATATTAATCAATGCTGTGGAGAAAGTTTGGATTTGTGGATTTTTTTTATTTTTTATTAATTACATTTTGAGGTTATTACTACAAGTGGCATTGTTACTATATATGTGGTTTCAGGGTCTCAATGCTGTGGAGACAAGTTTGGATTTGTGGATTTTTTTTTTAAATTTTATTAATTATATTTTGAGGTTATTACTACAAATATAATTGTTACTATACCATTGCTTAATATATGGTTTCAAGGCCTTAAAAGATATGTGGGAATGATGATTTGAACCTATCAGGTGAACTTGGTTCAAAATGGACCTGTGTTGTTGGGTCTGTAAGTTGGGTCTATCTTTAGAGGTCTTGGCCTGCTGGCAGGTTGGGTTGGTTTTATGTCAAATATACATTTCCTTTAGGGAACAGTTCAACCCAACCTGAATTCCCCCAACCAACTTTCTTTTTTGCTATAAGATAACATAAAACATGTCTTGTCCTGCCATCCCAACCTAGCATGTTTTGACCCAACCCATCCTTTTTTTCCCCAGTTGAAGATTTGTCTGTTGTACATTGTTGCATGAATGAAGGCTTGTGGGGTGCTGGAAGTTGAGACAGTGACTCGTATCTCTGTTGGTTTATTGCAGATATGAACCAGATATGCTTGCCTTCTCAGGATGCTATTACGGTGGAGGGGAGAAGGAAAGGAAAGAACTTGGTGCAATACGCAAGAGGTGGAAAACTTTACATGTAAGTGAAACAATAATTCCTGATCTTTTAAAAACATGGCTGCCCTTTTGGTGCCTGAGTGTCATTCTAAACCACGAGTAGATAAGTAACCCTGACAAGGCACGGAGGCAAGGAAGATGCCCACTAACACCTGAAGAGGTAGGACTCATGCTGAGGGCATTGGGCTATGGAAGTGATGTTCACATATATGTTGCGTCTGGTGAAATATATGGTGGTGATGAATCATTGGCACCTCTGAAAGCACTCTTTCCCAATTTTCATTCCAAAGAGACGTTAGCCAGCAAGGAGGAATTGGAACCATTCTCCTTATTCTCATCACGCATGGCTGCTCTTGATTTTATTGTATGTGATGGAAGTGATGCATTTGTGGCAAACAACAATGGTAACATGGCTCGCATGCTGACTGGTCGAAGGTAAGCTTTGCTTCTATATGATTGACTAATTTTTGTTATATTGTATATTCAGAGTATTTCCGTTTCTTTTGCCGGTATGTTCACCAGGAGATACTTTGGGCACAAGCGGACCCTAAGACCAAATGCTAAGAAGCTGTATTCATTGTTTCTAAACCGTGCAAACATGACTTGGGAGCAATTTTCTTTGAAGGTGTACAGTTATCAGAGAGGATTTCTGGGGGAGCCAAAAGAGGTTAGACCAGGTAGAGGTGAATTTCATGAAAATCCATCAGCTTGCATATGCGAGACCACTAAGGCAATGAGAGGTAAACATTCCGGTTCACTAAGTCAGACCAATGGTGATGATCAACATCGAAAAAGCAATAGAGGCCACAGTATCAGCGAGCCTACATACAATCACACTGATGAGGAGCCGGACTGGTCTGACATGGACTATGGAGAGTATACACCATTGAGTAAAAGTTTGTCTAATAGTACGGACATGGACTATAATCCATTCACAAGGCAAGAGGATTCAGAGCTTGAGGATTTTCTCTCAGATTAAGAAGATGATCTGATTTTCTGTCCACTGAGCAGTTTATAATGCTTAACCAATTCTTTCATCAAATTCTTTTATTTGGGCCATTGAATCGGGTTTCTTATGAGAGAACTTGTAACTTCTTCTCTGTTGCACCTTGTGTATACTCTTCTATGATGGGACGATGGTGTCTTCCTTTTCTAGTATATTCTGGTAAACCATGTTGATAGGGTCTTTTGTTTCTTTGGAAGGACGATCTACCTTGCCGAATTATAGTTTTCGTATTTCATCATGCGGCAGTCTGTTGTCGACTTCGAAATTTTGTTGTAAGGTATATATTGTGATTATTCCCCTTGTTAAAGTTTTTCCCATCTGTTAGATTTCTATAACAAATTTGGCATCAAGAATTGTTTAAAGGTGAGACACTTCATGCCACAGTTTTGTTTTAAGATTTTTAGTGATCGACATGACAGGGAAGTTTAGGTTACATTTTTACTAATAATCTTTTTTATTACTGACATGCTCGGTGATAACACCTGCAGTTTAGTTAGATGGAAAGACACCGAGAATCTCAGCAACAGACGCGAGGTCAATATAGATGATGGTTTGCCATGTGATTCTTGCATTGGTACGCATGACACAGCAGGTCAGCCATCATTTCCTACTACTATTACTGCTTCAGGTGAAATCAGTGTCACTTCCAGCATTTCCATGTTTCAGCCTTATGATTGAAGTGGAACTCATTGCCAAAACCGTACTAGAAATCTTTGCATTCAGATGAGTTAATTATAACTGTGTGTTTTTCGTGTGTAATCCGTATCCAAAAATTGGATTTACATTGGACTGCAGGGCACGAGATAGGATGAGTTTCTTCATGAGCTAAGCATGTTGAGCAGAGAGACTCGACTTTGGATCAGCTGCCTGAAGAAGCATTTCCAATCCGCTCTCAAACCCCTCGATGCTGACTTCCAACCTCTGCAGTTGACTTTGCGCCCGCCCTTGCCCTCTCACCATCAACATCCTTGCAGCAAATGCAATCTAGACTTCCTTCCTCTTGGTCAACGCCTTGGAGACAACCGACCACCTGCTTGACCTTGGCCGCCTTGTCTGCAGTCAAGCGATCCTTCACTGCGCTGCACACGTCCAACAATCTGATACACCCATCCGTTTCTTCTTCCGCCCATCTCCTTTGCAGTGGATGGATGAGGATCTGCTGGTTGACGGACTCGTACACGCCTTCGAGCCGCCTCAACCCGTCGCACATCTTCTCCGGCGTCGAAGAGGGTGAAGCCATAGAAGATCTTAACTTGTGCAGCTCTTCTTCTACCCTGAGTGCAGCAGAGTGAGATCTCGAGGGCAAGCTGATGGAGCGGGTATGGCAAGGCTGGTTTGCTGCTGAAGCGGATTCAGCCATTGTTTCTCTTTGAGTTCCGAGAAGATCATTCGATTGTGTGGCAACTGATGAAGAGGGATGGAAGGATAACAGGTTTGGTGTCAACCTTTGGTTCACAGGAGACACCAAGAATCCAAGCTACCATCTCCAGCTTGTCATGTTTCAGTAGCTAACAGCAAATTACTTGTGCGGGAGAATCTTACCACGACACTCGAGAGCATATGCCTGCTCGTCTCCTATCAGCACACACCAAACTCCAACATCATCTTACCAACCTGGTTGATGTCGGTGATCTCTAAATCAAACTTGGATCCGCATGTGTAAGTAAGTCTCCGTGATTGAACGAGAAGCTCGAGTTCGTTTGGTGGTCTACCTGCATGAAAACCGACATCAAGTGTGATTTTCGATGAGATTTCTTCGATGCTCTAGTTAATTTAAAAAATAAAAATTTAAATAAATAACTAACCTCGATTATAGTGACATGATGGGCTTAACACAAAAGAAAAAAAAAATTCTATAATATGGACAAAATATTAAACTAATAAATATGTGGATAAATTGTTGATCGAGATCCGGTTTTACTTGTTGATTGGGATTGCTATGTGTTAGCCATGATTGGTGATTTGGGCCTGTCGGCAAGCAACAAATCGAAGCAGCAAACGCTGCATCACCAAAGGAAAATAAATTGCAACCCCAACAAAGCAACGGTTACCAAAAGCATGCGCGGTGTTGTGATAGTGTGAGAAGCAGCGTTCATGTCTCTCTACTGTAGCCAGCATGTATAAATGATGCCATGTGCTGCGAGAAGCAATGTATCATTCTCAGTAATACTGAGAGTTAGAACAGAAGATGATGAGGAGACACAAGGAATCGAATCGTCGCTACCTAAACTGAGCTCCCATGTGATGTGAATGTGGATCTTTGGTGGAACTTTGATGCTTGTATTGGCATTCATCATGTCTTGGATATTCTCAATACGAAGTAGATGGATGACATTTCGTCATGTCTCAGCATAATTAGTTGTCATGTTTCAGTAGCCAATCAGATTTTGGATGCCATGGAAGAAGGAGATTGATCTGAACTGTAATTGTATTTTACTCGTGTGTAAATCTTGTACAATTGCTGGGTTTACATTCACCAGCAGATCGCCTAAAATGTGGATGCTGCTTACAGGGTACAGAGTTTGATGAGAATGTTCATGAGCTGAGTATGTTGAGCAGAGAAACTCTGCTTTGGATCAGTTGCCTGAAGAGGCATTCCAATCCACTCTCGATCCCTTCAATGCTGACTTCTAATGTCTGCAGTTGGCTTTGCGCCTGCAATAGCCTGTCATCGTCAGCACCCTTGCAGAGATTGCAATCACAAGAAGCATGCCATGAGAAGATGCGTAGACTTTCCACTCCATGTTCTTCCTCCTCGGATGCTGCCACCTTCCGCTTGCTCAATGCCTTGGAAACGAAAGACCACCTCCTTGACTTGGGTCTTCTCGTTTGCGTCGACAAGAAAGACGAGACCAGTCGGAGGAGAGAGACGGTGGCCACCTTCGCTTCCATCAAAAGCCTAATCGGCAGGTCGTCATCGTCATCGATGCGTTTGTCCTCCATGTGCTTCAACGATCTGAAGCAACTCTTCATATCCTTCTCTGCCTTCCTCCCAAAGCGAACGTAATCACTCACTTTGCTCACGATTGCTGCGTCTTCTCTCTTTCTGAGAGCCAGCTGAAGACCATGGATGCGCTCCTTCATTGCAGCCAAGCTCGAGATCACTGCGCTGCACAGGTCCAACAATCTGATAGACCCATCCAACTCTTCCTCCACCCACTTCTTCTGCAGTGGATAATTGAGGGTCTGCTGGTTGCTCGTTAAGCGAATAAGCTCCTCCATGGAATCGTACAGCCCGCCGAGTCCTTTCAGTCCGTCGCACAACGCCTGTGGTGCTGTGGAGGATGAAGCCAGGGAAGACCTCATCTGGTTCAGCTCTTCCTCAACCCTGAGTGCAGCAGGGTGAGATCTCGACGGCAAGCTGACGGACCGGACATGGCATGGCTGGCTTGGTGCAGAAGCTGATGCAGCCATCTTTGCTTCGAGTTGGTATGACAGCGAAGGAAGAAGGCACATTGGACTTCCGTCTTTGGCTCCCTCTCCTTATAAACCACCACCCAACGCCATGATTGGAAACACCAAGCATCTCAGCTACCTAGACTAATCATCTCTCTCTCTCTCTCTCTCTCTCTCTCTCTCTCTC